CCATCTTGATCGCCATTTCCGTGTTGGCAGGGTTCTGGAGAAGATACGAGATGATGTTGCTGTCGTCAATCGTCACGAAGAGTACCTGACCCTTGCGGTTGATCCCGACGATGCCGGAGGAGTCCCTGTCAGGGCAGGTAGTGAAGATGGTATCGCTTGAAATACGGTTCATGAAGATGCAAGAGCCGCTCTCGAGATCGTAGACGTGGATGAAGCCGTACTTGGTAACCATGAAAATGACGCCGTATTTCTGCGAGACCTGCATAGCGACGGGGAAATCGTTGGTCGCCTCAGGTGGGAAGTACACATCGACCGCCTTCTTCTGGAAGACAGGGTTCGACTCGGCGTGGTCAACTTCGACAACGTGAAGCTTCGCGCCGGTTGCCGTCCTGACGGAGAATGTGAAGAGCTTTGTGTCTGCTGGGGCACCCTCCAACCGGATGGTGCCGAAGGCAGCAGCATGACCCTCGATGGCTTGGCTGATACCACGGTCTTTGGAGTAGAGTTGCATGGCACCGACGATGCGTCCCTCGCGCTGGGCGATACCGACGACGACCATCCATTTGTTATCGACATTTGTGCGGTAATTGATGATTTGGCATCCCTGTGGGACGAGTTAGTCGTGCACGCAAAGAAATGCGTCCCACCAGTCGTGCAGCGCAGCACAGCATGTGGCAGGAAACGCGCGACTTACACTGAGGTTGGCATTGCGCTCAAAGATCTTGACGGGGGCGGCCTGGCTCGGGTCGTAAACGTCCCAGTGGAACACTGACGACTCGGTGACAAGGCCGAGCGTGGTCTCGGTGACCCACTTCCAGTACTGGACGTCCTCGTTCATCGTGGCCGATTTGAGCTTCTGCTTCTGCTCGAGATCGAAGATCTGGAGAGTTCTGGATTGCGCTTTCAGGGCGATGACTTGTCGTGACCAGTGCATGATGGCACTGTCGGCCTTGATGGGGCGGCGGGTGACGTTGTTGCCATTCTTGAGGTCGACGATGACGACCTCGGGCGAGGCGTCACCCTTCTGTTCTCGGATACAAACATAGGCATCTGATTCGAGTGTCTGCATTGGACAGGGTTAGAGGGCATGTCACAAGGCGCAGTAGCAGCATTGGGCCGAATGAGGCGAGGGATGCTTACGCAGGAGTTGAAAGTGATGGACGAGTCCTCCACGCCGACGCTCTTGAGCTGAACGAGCTCCTCGAACCTGATCGGAAGGGCCGCCATGACGGCGATTGTGACGGACAAGCTGGTGGAAAAATCTGACGCACAGCTGGCGGTCGCGGTTGTGTCAAGATTCCGGTCTTTTGTGGCGTGTCAAGGTTGGACAGTTGTTGGCGAGATTAGGATCGGAACCCGGATAGGAGAAGAAAGGGGAGCTTCGTCGCGAGCTGTCCTGTTGGGTGCGCGAACCGAGCAATTATACAGGCGAGGCAAAAGGGCGTGAAGCAAAAAGACGGAGAGGCGTGTTCGCGTCAAGGATGCAACTCTCAGAGATGACAATCTGGAGGGCAAACGTGGGAAGTCGTGGGCGGTTGATGGGTGGAGAGTTTTGTTTGGGTTGAGATCGGGATGGACCAAGGTAAGGATACGTAAGGTGCAAATACCTGTTCACTTGCATTCGCGACGGGCAGGGGCAGCAGGGTGCAGGTGCCAGTCAGCTTGCTCCTGCCTGGTGCTTGGGTGGGTCGAGTGGTGACGGTCACGTGGGATCCATCAGTGCTTCTGGCTGGATCTGAGCGCCTGGAGCTGCGGGATAAGTTTGGGGCCTAGCCGATCTGGGTGTAGATGAAGATGTCTCAGGGGGTGTCCAGATGTTACCTGGCAAGCCTGGTCAGGGCACTCGTAAGTCTTGGTAGGCCGGATAGGCACGACTGTAGTGCCTGGCCTGGGAGCCAGCTGAGGCTGTGAAGCATCTGCTTACATACGGCATCCTACGAGGCAGGCCACATATTTTTCACACTTTAGGTGCATGAATGAATCAACCGCTACTTGCGTCAGAGGTTGAGAGATGTAGTATGTACCGAAATGCCTACCTTAAGATGGGTACCTGAGTAAGGTAAGGTAGGTAGCTCGTGATGTGAAATCCTTGTTTCCAGCACTAGAGCCTGCACATCGCAGCAACCTTCCCTCAACACATTACTAACCTCGCACTTGTGACTTGACAACGATGTGCCCAAGTATATACTTTTACGAAGCCTGTTTTAGAGGTGTTTGTCGGAGGCTCAGGGTGTCTGGAGCAGGATCGGCTCTTCCTTATAAAGTGCATCATGACGACATACCACGCCGAAAAGAATCATGATGTACCGCTCCAAACACGAGAGGATAAGAGTAGAATGGCATTGGGAATCCTGAAGCCATCTCATCCTTCTTAAGCGGGTCCGTGAAGAAGCTGCCGACATGCACCTCCTCGCTCCACCTCATTATCTGTGAAGCTTCATGGAGAACGCCTGCACTGGGGATGGCAAGCGCGTCGGTTGGTTCAGCCGTGAGCGACATCGCTGGACTTCGCAAAAAGAGACAAAGAAGCAGGTGTCGAGGTTGGATCGCAGATTTCTCGGAGAAGCTGTCAGTTCTAAGTATAGTGCTCAAAATATCGAGGTGGCCATCAAAGAAGGCGCTTGCGCCTCATAGACATGTCAGGGCACACGAAGGCCTCAAGCAATCAAATTTGCCGGCTGGTGATACAAAGTGGATTATGCTCGTGTATATGTACATATTTCTGGTGGGTTGGTTACATCAGCAAGCGCCAGGCACCAAGCAGCAGCGCCGCAGAACCAGTACACACGCCCATCAGCCACTGCAGCGTCTGAAACTTGACCTGCTCTAGCTTCTCCCGCAGCGCGGCCACCTCCTGTTCGATCTTGGTCTCGGTCTCCTTAATCTTCAACTCCTGCCCCACAGCTTCCTCTCGAATGCGGCCCTTCTCGAGATTGAGGTCGAGACGCACACTGGCTTGCGTACGGCCGATCTCGTCACGCAGACGGCTGCTCAGCTTGGTAATGTCGTTGGACAGGCGCTCGTGGGCGGCACGCGTGGTACTCGATTCGGTGCTGTCGGCAGAGAGGAGCTCGGAGCGTAGCTTGGCGAAGTCGACTTTCTGGGTATAAGTGGCCTTGGCGGCGTCTTCGCGAAGGACCATTGTGCGGGTAAGATTTTGAATGCTGGGGTCATCAGTCAGCAAGCGATGCGGAAGGGAGGAAAAGATCAAGATAGACAAACCTCTCTTCGATGACATCGTTGAGCACCTTCATCATGGCAGCAGCTTGCTCCTCCGTGAAGCCCTCGCCCTTGAGCCGTTGGACAAACTTGAGGGTGTCAAAGTGATGGTCACGCTGCCTTGCTGGCGTCGTGTGGAAAGTTTTCCGAAACATGGAAGAGTTTGGTGCAGAGTATGACAGGGAGCCAGCTCTCCTGCATTGTGGCGTCTGTCTGGAAGTGTGAAATGAAGTGGTTTGTGATTGCCACGGTGCCGTGGGCTGGATCGCGGGGATCAAAAGAGATCGATATGTTTTTGCGGGCGTATTCCAGCTGAGCTTCGGCAGCAGAAACCTAGGCAGCGCTCCAGAGGCCATTTTTGTTGGGACCGCCATGGCGTTCTGTTGTTCTGTTCTCAAGAATAGCTGTCACGAGTAAGTTTGGCAGGCGCAGGACCGCGATGATGGCATCCAGGAACCGGAACATGTGGTCGCGGGGAGGTCCCACTTGAGTCCAGCCAGGGTCGCTCGTCTTCTGCCGAGGATGAGCCGCATGTTTGATTCGCTGGGGTTTTGAAAGCCCTGATTGGCTATCAAAGATTCTGGACCCCGCTGCCGCACCTACAAAACTTCCTCATGGCAGCCAGGCTTTTTCTGTTTTCCTTTCCTCTCTTCATTCAAATATGAACAACGCAAAAATCACATTCAGATTTCCATGCAAACTTGATGCGAGGTTCGCTCTGCTGAGCCCACGACCATTGAACTCTGGGGATACAGAATGGAGAGGAAACCGAACAATCTTGGGTGCGGTGCTTACCTGCCTTTTGGCACATGGGAAGGATCGCAATGATTGAACGTACATATCTGCATCTCGATGCGCATGTGGCGCGCTGGTAGCTAAGCTCTCGTAATGAGATGATCTACTGTGTGACAGCTTCGCAGCATTAAACCGGTACCATGATCGTTACCAAGCCATCGAACATGCTGCAACCTCACCCAACTGGGGCGTGGCTGTGGTCCTGTCTTGCACCCATGGCTGATGATGCTGTTCGCGCGACAGGCACAGGACCCACCAGATCACGTGCTAAGCAAGCGTCTGGGGGTCGAACGACTTCATCTCCTTGTTGTGCTGCAACATCTGCCTCCTGCGATTCACCACATCTTGACATGAGTTATCCTCATCACGAGCCGGCAGCATATCAGCACCAGTGGCGGAACCCAGTGATTCTCATTTGGCCGCACGATTATACAATACAAGAGCTATCGACTACGGGATACATACATCCTCGAAAAAGAGCGGCGTCAAGTTGCCTGACGAAACAAAAACCGCCATGTGGAAATGAAAGAGCTGAAATGCGGCGGGCAAAGGTCAGGATGCAGATGAGTTGTCTGTTTCCTTGCTTCCTTGAAAAGTCCTGTCGCATTCGGCTTGAAGAAGTGAAAATGTGGTGCTCTGTTGCGTTTCCTCCCGTGTTCGAGGTGCTTCGTGGGCTGAGTTTTTTCTGTCGAGTTTTTTCTGTGAGCTCCTTTTGGATTATTGCCTTCCTCCTCCTCCTCCCCTGACCTTCAAGGTCATGAACCGATCACCTGTCAGAATCCTTGACGCGTCTGGTTAAGTCAGCAAACGAGCCGAGATTCTGTGTTAACGGGGTAGCTACCTACCGGGTGCCCTTAACAAGATATCCGTCCGAGTACGATCCATGTTGGAAACGCGTCTAGTATCTCTGTCGATACCAGCGTCAGTATGAATGATCAACCTATCAACCGCTGCTTGTGGCCCCGCGGGCAACGGCAGGGGTTCGTTCACTTGGACATCAGACGGCAGAGAAAGGACGTACACTCGCTGGCGACGGACTCGGGCTCGGCGCTGCGCTTGTTCTTCCAGCAGCCCTGTCCAGGTCGGGGGCAGGGCTTCTGAGGGTCAGCCTCGGCAACAGCCTCAGGCTCTGGCTCGGGCATGGCAATGGGCTCGGGGGCACGCTTGGCCTTCCAGCAGCCCTGTCCAGGACGGGGGCATGGCTTGCCAGGCTCGGCCTCGGCAACGGCCTCAGGTTCGGGCATGGCAATGGGCTCGGGGGCACGCCTGGCCTTCCAGCAGCCCTGTCCAGGTCGGGGGCACGGCTTGCCGGGCTCGGCGAAGGGGAGCGCTGCAGCGTTGGCGACGGCCGCGACGACGGCCGCGTAAAGGAGGAACTTCATTTTGAGGTTTGGGTAGGGGAACGGGTTGGATCAACTCGGGTTGTCTGATGGGTAGTGAACGTGTGGCGGTGGACTCGATGTTCTTGAAAGAGTTGCTTGTCTCAAGGTTGGCTGATGACCTTTGGCTCAATGATCTTGGAGCTGGGACGAGTGAAAAGGGAGTATTATCTGGTCTTAGGGGCGATCTGAGCAACATCTTTATAATTCATGTTGAGGCAGTTGTGCTTTGTTGGTCTGGGTCGGTTGTTCATTTCAATAGCCCAATAACGAGAGCCTGGAGTTGGTGGCCACGATTATCCAGGGCCAAGGTAGGCACACTACGCTGGGCCAGAACATCCATCCACGACTCTTACCTTGGAAGACGACGCCTCTATCACACGCACGCAAAAGCAAGTCAATATTGCTTCAAAGATCGAGGCTATCGCGAAGCAAACGACCCGACATCACGGGTTGCGTTGGTTTAAAGGCCGGTTCGGAGCCCAAAGGCAGATATCACTTGTGGACACACCTTCGGTGTGCTGTCTGAATAGGACAAGGCTTATTCAGGACTTCTTTGGGCGATTCGTTTTGGAATTCCAGCTCATGCGAACCACTCCGACTGCCTTTGCGGACAAAGCCGTCGAACGCCATCTTTCTTCCTGATCGGATAGCATTGAGCTCTCAAGGGCCGCTACAAGGCGTCTCCTCAGATGGCAAGCCTGAAAGTCAGGGGTCGGCAGACGCACTTTCCAGACAAGGGGTCTAATTGGCGCGAACTTGGCTCAAGAAACAAGGATGATGGCAGCTTGCTTAATCGTTTAACCCCGAAGGTGTGCAAGCATGTACTCAGTGTCCCTAAGTCTCTTATTCAATACCCGATCGAGTCTCTATTGAGCCCCTGAATAGGACGAGAACCCAGGTGGTGATTGGCCCTCCCCACTCGGACGCCGCCACATGCGGCTCTATTCAAGATGTGCCCTGACAGCTGAAGTGGAGTAGCGTCTCCGTACCTTAAATATGGTTACTAAGTGCACACAACGACATGTGTACCGAGACTTGCCAAGGCACTTAAAGTGGTTACAGCCGGGTACCACAGGGCAGCATTAAGGTTGGAATAGGGGAGGATGTCACTTCATCGCAGACCTTTTCCAGACCGATTAAACACATTCGTAGTAGATTCAACTCGAGGTAACGGTAAGATGACACCCTGATCTGGCCTGTAGCGGTCCACTGTGAGGGCGGCAGCAATGGCATTACCAACGCGGTCCAAGATCCCCGAACAACCATCAAAAGGAGTACAGCATAGTTGGCAATGATTTCAAACAACTTCGGTGTCCAAAACGAGTTTTAGCACAGTCACACGTCCTTAGTCGGGAGCCAGTACTGTAGTCCCTACAAGTCATCAAGACAGGTCATTTAATAGTCACATATCCACAACAAGGTCATGGACATGTGTCCCCGTTATGGAGTACTGACTTTGAACTGGCATCTTTGAAGCACCGCGTAGGATATCTCGGACACTCATGGTGTCCTTGAAGGGCGGATCATGCCGCTACTACTTCTAGTGGCTGCCCGTGAAAGGTTTACCTGCCTGAGGTTCCGGAGGCCGCACCAGGCCTATCAATGCCTTATCCATCACATTGGGATCCTTAGGTACCGCAGATATCTTGCGACAGGCAGCGCCAGGAGAAATACGATCAATCCAGTATGTGATACTACCCGAATGCTGGTAGTGGCGGTCAGGCCGCTCAAGCCCGAGGATCCCAGTTTGGGTCGATGCCGTCAAGTAGATTCAGCCCCTTAAACGGCTCTGCGCCGAGGATTTTATCCAGGCCAACAACCTTATAACTGGCTTGGACATCGGCTCCTCCACCTGGCAGCTCATTCGTGTCATCGTGCACAACGAGCAGACCGTGAGGGAAGCCTGGGCCCAAGTTGGCGCCAACAGCGGCAAGACTGTCGGTGTTCGAAACGTGGTCGATCTGGCCGTCCGCCGAGTCAACGAGGGTGAAAGTCATGACGTACTCGTGGGGGCTGGCGCGGCGATAGACATTGTAGGCGCTGACACCCTGGGCAGATACGAAAAGGTAGCCTTCTTCTGGCGTCTTGCCGAATACCAAGGTGACGCCTTCGACATCACCCCAGAGAAGACCGTCGCCGACGTATGCGACACGGATGCCGGTCGGTTCCGAGTCCGGTTCCGCATCATATCGCCAGAGTGCTGATGGTTCCTCGCCGATCCATACCCACCCATTTTCTTCATCAGAGACACACCCTTCGACCTGACCGCCCGAGCCGCCCTGGAACTCCCGCACAAGTGTCGTCTCGAGGGTTCCATTGGCAGAAGCAGTGAGCTCGTATTGCATGTACCGTGCCGTTTTTTCATTGACAAAGAGATATTGCTTGCCAGTCTTGCGGGAGCGGTAGACACACGAACCGTACAGGCCGTCCTCAACCTTGGCGGTCTGGCTGCTACCAGCTATGTCCTTCAGGACACCATCGGCCGTGATCTCAAACAAACTGTTGCTGGTCAGCTTGGCATATACTGTATACTGCTGCGCGCCTTATCTAGGATCTCACCAGAGGGTATCATCAGCACGGCATGCTGCGTAAGCGAGGTCAACGGTTCTGTTGCCAAGGTTGAAGTTGTATATGACATCAACATTGTTTGGCTGGCCAGCGGGGAAGATTTGAAGGAGCTTGCCTTCCAGGTCGAAGACTCCCAAGCCAGCACCAGTCTCAGACTTGGTCGTTGTGATGATGCGGGATTTTTCGGGAGATTCAGGGGATATCCAAATGGCCGGATCGTCACCATCGTTGCCGTTCGCTTCCGTCTCAAAGGCCGGCTCGATGAGCAGGAAGGAGCAGTGCAGACCACCCCAGCCCTTCTCACATTGGCAAACGTTGGGGCCGACGCAGGTTCCACGACCAGAGCAATTATCTTGGCATGTGAAGTCGCTGCAGCCGGTGCCGGCAAAGCCTGAGAAACAAGTGCACGCAGTAGAATTTGTTGTGCAGAAACCGTTGTTGGAACAAGCGTCGCAGATGGGATCCCGCTTCCGACAGCCGAGAAGAGCTCGTGGATCATACTCGGTGTTGGGCTCAACACCGAGGCCTTCCCAGATGTTTTCGAGCGAACTGAGGCCGAAACCTTCAAAATTGTCGGCCTCGGCCGCAAAGCCTAGCGCGCCAAGGGGGTACTTGGAGGTGGCGGCCTGGTAAAGGCTGATGCCTTCGACCTCAATGTCCTCGAGGCCCGTCAGGGCCAGTGTACCGACAAGTTCAAATGGATACCGGTAGACAGCAACAGTGCCCTCCTGCGCGATAAAGAGATAATCGGCGTCAGTCCCCTGAGATGTGTATACGGCTATGCCTGTAGCTGTGTCCTCGGTCTTACCAAGGACAGAGAGCCCAGGGGTAGAAGTCGATTCAGCAAGATCGATTTGGTAAATTTCGTCACCGTCATTCGGTGTGAGGATCAACCTGGATTGCTTGCTAGAGACCGCGCACCCAGCGAACTCTGTGGGGACGTCAAAGGATTGGACCTGGCAGCATCAGCATGAATCCAGGACAGCTAGCATAGCCAAATTATACCTCCACAAATTCAACAGACTCTCCAGCTTCGCGGACCAAGTACTGGTGACCTGAGCTCTTGCCAAAGAGGTAGACGTAGTTGTTGGCGCTGGGAGCCTTCCAGGAGCACAAGGCCGACCAATCGCCGAGAGCGACGAAACGGGCATCATCGAGCTCCTTCAGAGACGGAAGTTCGTACGCACTGAGGATGGAGGTAGTCGCTGGGATTGAAACGAGAATATCTCTGCCGCCAACATCGTGGACAGTCGCCACAAGCTTGGTCCTGCCGGTGTTCACGCTCTTTAGTGCTTGCAGAGGTGCATCGCCATCGAGGTCCCAGGTGTGAAAGCCACCGGTAGAGGCACCACCATCGTTGCTGATGAGCAAGGGCTGTGACTCGGAGTAGTAGACAGCCGTGGCGTCCGACTCTACGAGACCGGACGTGTAGGCCGTCACGTTGAGTTGGAGCTCGACAGCAGCTGACAGCCAGGGCTGGGTGGCGAGGGCAACGAAGGCCGCGGTGAAAGCGAGAGGCTTCAGACCCATAGTGGCTGGCAATTCGAGCTCGGGGAAAGTGGTGTGGCAAGGCAACAACGGCCATGTTGCTGCACGGGAGAGCATGAGCCCTTTTATCATGGACAACCGCGCCATGGACGGACGCACGTTGATGGCCACGGAGTCGAGTACCTTTGGGCACTCATCCCGGCGACCAGGGTGCGAGGGTTGAGGATCTAGACCGTTCCTGGAAGCACTTCAAAGGCCCTGATGAGCCCTGATGGCGATCGGAAGAGCGAGAGGAAGCTTGTGAATGACCGAGGGGTAGCAGTGTGCATGGATCGTCGTGCTTTGGAAAGAGGACCAACGTGCGCGTGGAGGGATTGGGGTCGACCATTGGTGAGTGTAGGAAGCAGGGGGGGGGGTCACACTCCTAATGGGGCTGGCGCGGGGCGCGCCCCTACGCAGGGGCCGGGTATCTTAAGCTGCCGCATCCCGCATCTCTCTGGCTTGGCAATTGGGCCACGGCGTGCCTGCCAGCCTTATGTAAGGCACTCTATCTCGACATGTCGACGTCGCACCATTTCGAGCCGTCGGCTCTGCGCACTTTGTCTCATCTTCGAGATCTTCGAGTCCACTGCCGTCTTATCCGTCATGCGCTCATCGGCTCGCGAGAGCTCTGGCATGCTTTATGACCCTTCTATCTCAAGACGGCAAGGTATCGCGTGACTTGTCTCGGCGCCCTGAGCTGAGCGCGATCAGGTCTCTCGAACCATCTCAGGTATACGAATATTGAACCGGACACATCACAATGCATGGGATCCAGCAGTATATATTGTAATTCATGCGATACGGAAACCTCTGATGCTCGAAAGTCTCGTCGCAGTCTGGGTATGCTCTTTTGACGCATGCAGACGCCTGCTTTAACCCGTCCACTGCATCAGTGTTTTCCAATATCGTAGGCCTCGGGCGTGGGGAAGGAGGGTCACAACCACTCATTCAGTGCATCCTGATCGCCCAGCGACCAAGCTCTTCATATATAGCCAGCTCTTAGTTATCAGAGGTGAATATGCGTACATAAATCCAGAATGGGATGGCACAAAGTCCCTTGATGGAGATTTCTAGCTTAGGTACCCAGGTTATGGCTCCTTCCCCTAGGGTTCCTTGAGCAGTTGCCCGCGATCTAAGCATCTACCAGGACGCGACATCGCATCTATTCTGGCGTGCACTGGAAAGAGCTCTTGTGCCTGCCGCCGGAGAGAAAGCGTTGTTGCCTGTTTTAAGCTCGTCTTTACCGCGACGCGGTGCTCGGACAACCATTCACGCCACCATACTTGTGCATACCACTCAGAAGTCGTCTGTCGTCTGCTTTACCTCCGCCCTCGTCCTAACTTTCAATCCTTCTCCTTCATTTACCATACAATCATCCATGACCGCAAAGACGTTTACCAGCTACCTACATGTCTGACCCAGAATCCCTCCTGAGATTCGCTCTTTATCAGTCCGCCCATCGAGCGCAAGAGGCGGAACCGCGTGCCCGTAAGCAAAAGCGGGCACACAAAACCGTAGTCAAGATGCGAGACGGCAAAAACAAAGGAGTTCCTATGGCCAAGCGACAGAAAACGAGTGACACACGAACTCCTGTTACCCAAGATAAACCGGCTCCCTTAAACGATCAGCCTTGCGCCGCCGACAGCAGTCATACACCCAACGGTAGCGAGGTGATCGCACGCGCAGCGATATCGCCGTCTCCTCCCATCATATTTTCGGAGAAGGAGTTGATTCCGTCTACCTCAACTACCGTGAAGGGACTGGTAAGCCACCCGCACTTCTGTTCACCAATTGAACCCACCACTTGCGGTTAAACTGACTTTCTGTACTCCATGAACCAGGGTGCCTCATCGTATTGCTCTTTCCCTCGCAAGCTTCCACAAGGCCCGGGAGTCGTTGCTTACAAGAGGCACATGAACTATTTCAAAGTTCTCCTCAGAACCCCTGGCTCACTTGGCTTGGCTACATTTGGCCTTGGGCTTCCTGGCGACCTAATAGGACGCCTTGACGAAGACAACCTGAAATTCGTCTACGCCAGGACATCGTCCGAGAACACACGTCATACTTTGCAGATGAAGCTATATAGCCAACCTTGTCTGTCTCTCATCGAACCTGCCTCAAAGAGCTTCCTCGACTTGGGCGCGGGGAGCGGCGTCTGGGCCTCTGACGGTTCGTATCAGAATCAAAAGCGGTCGCTCTATGATGGTACTAACATGGTTTCAGTTGCCGGAAAATGTGGACGTCTCGGGACGGATATATATGCAGGGGATAGGTACGACGACCTGCTCACGATAGAGCCTACGCCTATGCCACCGAACCTTCACTTCGTCGACATGAATATTGTCCATGGCCCTCCGGTCGGATCTCGAGCCACATCGGACGACCTGGTGGACATGATACGGGTCAGCCACGCTATCGCTCAAGTCACAGACCGGAACTATCTCCTTGATACTTGCTACTCGTGGGTTCTACATCTGTTCCTTAAAAGCAGGTTTGATTTAACGATGTGACACATAGGGCCCTCAACAACGGGGGTTATCTAGAAATTCAAGCCTTCGAACCCATAGTCCGGAAGCGAGACGAGCCGGAGAACTTTGATCATCCACTGAATATTTTCTTCCGACTTCTCTGCAAGGAGACTCTGCCGGATCTCAAGGCTGTTCATCCTGTGGAGGACCTGGTAGATGCGCTAGGTACCGCTGGTTTCACCGAAGTTGAAGTCATGACCCAATTGGTACCTATTGGCCAACAACAGGATATGGTGAGTCTCATCATCTTGAAGAGAATATCGAAGATCTTCCCAGCTAACGTCTAACCCAGAGCTGGTTGAAGAGAAAAGTGGCCGGAGCTCTCTTTCGCCAGGTCCTTCACAGTTACATCTCTCACATTGACCGCACCAAGTTCACCCTTCGTGGTCTCAACGATGAACAGATCGATGCCCTGATTCAAATGACCAGATACGCTATCAACGCCAAAGACAACCGGTATTATATGCGCCTGGTCTTCGTGTCGGGCAAGAAGGAATCTCGTGACTACGATGATGGGACCACAAAGTTGGAGTCCAGTTCCGAAGCAAATGAATCTGTAGAACTGGTAATCGGTGGAGGCCCTGATTTTTCCAGAACGGATCCCGAAAGCCCCCTTTGAACGGCTTGCACGACGTGCTATCCAGAAAAGCTTGTTCCGGATCGTCGGTCAGGGGACCAATACTTGGACACACCTGGGAGCTTCGGGGTGATCCAAGTTGAACTGGCATCGGGGAGTTGCGTAAGAGCGTGACCAGCAGGATTCAATGGTCAAGAGTGGAGGATGGCTAGCATTGTGCTGCCGCATCGTATTTGGCGCCGGCGAGCACCAACGAGGGCTGGGGTCTGGAGAGGGCGAGCTGCGAGACTAAATGACTTGGGTCAAGCGATGTTTAGGAGTATGATCAATTCCATAGCAACATCGAATACAGTACCGCTTTGCAGCATGCACCAAGTTTATCGGTGGCAAGCCTAAAGGCCTAGGGTGCCTGGTGTAAGATAGGCAGGCACATCAGCGTAATGAACCAGCAATAAACGATCCGGACAACAGGAAGCAGAACAGCGAAACCATTATGCATTCAATTCTGGATATCAACGAACCCTCAACCTTGACCTGTCCCCTCCCGCCCCTCTGAGCCGAACGCCTCTTCGTGCCTGACTCTTTGCTCGCCACGTTGAGAGACTGTGGAGCGAAATCTTGCCGCCCGTATGAGCCGTCATCTACCACATGCATCACTGACGTATTACCTCCGCACACCCGCGACGCATCCCCTTAGTTATCGGACACCAACTGAGGAATGTCGTCCACGCTGTTGCGGCCCTCGAGGATCTCGTGAACGGCAGTGAAGAGGGGATACTCCTTCTCGAGCCCGCGGGCCTTGAGGAAGCTATTGACCTCGGCGGCTGTGCTCGTGCCCTGCAGCTTCTGTCCATTGAGCTCGCGCTCCTCAACCTCCTGCACGGTGAGGCCCTCGAGGACGGCCTTGCGAGCGCAACGGAAGTTACGGCCGCCGCTGCACGAGGTAATGAGATCGGCGACGCCGGCCGACTCCTCTGTGAAGGTGGCGGGACGGACCGTTTGGCCGAAGAAGGCCTGGCCAAAGGCAACCATCTCGAGGAGGCCGATGCGCATGATGGCAGCCTTGGCGTTGTCACCCCAGCCGCGGCCGTCGACGAAGCCGGCGGCCAGAGCGACGATGTTCTTCAGGGCACCACCAAGGGACACACCAGCAACGTCGGAAACCATACGCACATGGAAGTAGGGGCGATGGAAGAGCTGCTTGAACGTCTCGTGGTCGAGGGGTGGGTAGGTAGCCGGGAAGGGCGTGAGCTTCGTTTTGGAAGCGCGGCCGCGGGCATCCTTGTGATGCAGTGAAACAGGCGTCATAGCCTGGAGGCCGGCGATAATCTTGTTGGCGCCGTTGGCGGCTTGCTGGGCAACCGTCGGCGAGGCAGGGCCAGGCGATGCGGTCCGCGAGGTCGCGCGCGGGGTAGGCACGCGCGAGTTATCCATTGGAGGCGGGTCATATGCGATAGTCGTCTCGGACCACTTCTCGGCAGCAATCTCAGAAGCAATGTTGGCGCCAGACAGGGCACCAACGTAGATGCCGAGACCGTCACCGATCCATTCGGAGAAGAGGGAGACACCGTCGTCTGAGACATTAACACCCTTGATGCAGGAGATGCCACGAGCAAAGGGGAGAATATTGCCGCGCAGCTGGTCGCAGACTTTGCCAATAAACTGGTGGGGCAGGTTGAAAATGAGAATCGTAGCGTCGCGGGCGGCGTCGACGACCGAGGGGTTTGCAATCAGGTTTGTCGGCAGACGGACCCCAGGCAGGTACTTTGTGTTCTCGTGGTGCGTGTTGATAATGTGAGTGAGCTTTTGCGGTGACGAACCCGTGGCCGAGTCATAGTAGGGAGAGTCTTCGGACAGAGTGACATCCTCCTCGTACACCCACATCTGGACCTCCTCCTCGAAGATATCGGGGAACGCCTTGGTGTTCTCGGCAACGATTTTGGAAATGGTAGAGCCCCTGGTGCTACGTCAGACAAGGCTCATGGGCAACATGACGAGGCAGGCTGCACTTACCAATTGCCGGAACCGACAACAGTCACCTTGTGCTTCTTCGTGATGTCGAGGCCGAGCGTCGCCATGTTGTTGGTGGTTGTATAGGCTCGACGGGTGACTATGCGGAGAGGGCGAATACGGTAGCCAGTTGCTCTTGCGAGTGACAATGTGTGGAGGGGTATCGAGGAGGGGCGAAAAAGCATGAGGTATCACAAGGCGTTGGCGTGATGGAGAGAGGATGGCCGCCCGTTATAAACAGGGCCGGCAGAGGGAGGGTTGAGTGTGGAGGTGAAGGCGGGGGGACCTGGCGTAAGGCACTGTTCTGGTAAAATATTGCCACAAGAGCTGAAGGAAAGGTCAATATAGGGGTCTTGCCGTTTGCTGATGTGTACGCTCAGTATAGGTGGTGTCGTGGCTTGCTCCAGCCAGGCGTCCTCGGCGCAACCAGCGCAAGCACGAGACTGGGACCCTCCCTCCAAACGGCCCGCCCGCTATCGAGTCGCCGTCACAGGCGTTGAGCTTCAGTGGAACGGCACCCATGACGCAGGAGGGGGGTAGGGGCAGAACGGCTGACCGCCTGCTGTAGAGGGCAAGGTCGCCCAACGAAAAGGGCAGGGGTTGAGCACCATCGAACGTAGTCAGGCAAGCGCCAGTGCTGTGTTGCTCCTCGGTCGGGCTGGCGAGGCATCGAATCTTCGCTGGCCGAGGCAGCTCATGCGCCAATTGACCGATGACCTATTACTACCTGTTCTTTGTCCCCCTACCTCGTTACCTTTTGGTGCCGATAACTGAAGCCTGGGCTTTTCACAGGCATGCGTATGAACCGAGGGTGATTATTAGGAGCCTCTTTCAGACTATCAAATTGATTGGTGCCGTGGATCGGCAGTGCCGTCCGTGGTGGAGGCCCCCTAGAGGCTCGGAAGACGAGGCGAATGCCGCGCGCATCTTTCCAAATTTATTTCGGGTCCCCCGTTGCTGGGTCGTTGTAGGCTCAGATATGGGTTTTCACATGTCGGCTTTTACTTGGTTGGGGATCGTCGGTCGGCCGTGCCTTGTGCCTGGCAATCCCGGGTGGCGAGAAGGCCAGACGCTGGTTACGTTTGGCGACATTCGGTGGCCTAACCATGCCGCTCGGCACCGTCGTCAGGTGTTGCAAAGTCATCAGAGCTTCCCGAGGCTCTCGGTCATTCGCTCGTGATGGATCATCATGCTGAGAAGAAAGTCCAAAGACCACAAATTCCACCGCCTGATCACCAATTTCGCGTCGTATCCACGTTCGTCAACTCACATTTCTTCGATTGCAATCTGGTTCACTCGACAATGCTCTGCCTCAAAGGAGAGGCGTGTTCCGGGAGCATCAAACATGTTTGAAGGAACCAATCCAGTCCTTTCGAATGAGGGCGCTCAAGTGCGCTCCTGTGTGTGACGAGAGCGACAAGCAAATACGCAGCATCGCCCGCTGCAAAACACATGGACATCGAGCACCTCAATCCTTCCATTTCATCGCCTGTGGGATTTTGCCCCAGCAAAGCAGGTTTGCTGCCGCATCAAGCAACAACTCGAACTTCTCCAGGTGTGCTGCCAATCCGAAAAGAAGCTTGGCGCATTGCACCCGACGGCCGCCTCTCACATCGGATAATCGACGGCGTTTCTCCCTTCTCATGTCAGCCCGGTGCCAGCAACAGCGCTCGCTCGATGTGACCGTCTCATCCAATTACGACCCCCTGTGACATTTTCCCTCTTTCTCGGGCAGCATTTGAGGCTCCAAGAGATCGTCATTCCGATTGCTGGGAAGCGCTCGCGAGGCCCCGACCACGAAACTCATCGGTCGATGGTGCCAGGAACACGATGTACATGGCATAGCGCTAGGCCAGACTTGCAAGAGCTGGGTGCCAGCAGCGGGGCGGGCCCCTCTCATGTCACAGCGTCGGTCGAGTCTGTCGAGTCTGGCCCGTCTGGCCTGTGCGGGAAATATCCCAACACTAAGCCCAAAGCCGTCTCGTTAAGTGGCATGACGTCGGTGCTGCGAGGGAGAGGAGGGGGGGGGGGAGCTCAGACTCCGGCCGATCAGAGATGCGATCGAGGTTGGGACTGGCGAAATCTTCCAGCAAGCAAGCAGGCAATTGCTCGCGATCTCGCCTACCTACCTCAGCCCCCTCGGTCCAGCAGCTACTTTTAGTTGCTACCCATCATCTTCTCGTGTCTTCAGCCAGCGAATAACTTCAACAGAGCGGAACAATCGGAGCATCGGCAGTGTCGGCGCATCTTTCGCTCAACTTGTTCACAAGCAAAACACCATGAACCAGGAGGTAAGCGCATGCCCGAAACTTCCTATCCAGAAAGCCACCTCCCCTTCCCCCCAAGACATCCGAGACACGGTCGCAGGCTTCTTCACTTGCGCGCGTCAACAAGGCATGGAAGCAAGCAAACCTACTGTTGGCTTGCTAGGCCAGTGCTCGGCCGTGGCACAGCGCTAGGCTTTATCACCTCACCTCGCCTTCCCTCGCCTCACCGTCACCGCGAGTGCGATTGCTCGCTTGGCCGCCCACATGCCCCCAACAGTCGGCAGCAAGGTGCCATGGAAGTAGCCCAGCCCTGCCGATCCCCTTGTACCTGTCTTCCGTGTCTTCGCTTCACCATGGGATCCCGGCCCCTCCCTTCAAGGACTCGCTTGACAGGACAGGCAAAGAAGGCTCCAGGGTAGCTCCCGCCTTCCTACAAGCTGAGCTCACCTCACCTCCACGCCGGACCGCGCCCCCCATGCCGCATTCAGATTGGGACGGCGACGCCAGCGAAGAACTCTGCAAGAGCTTTGCTCAAACCCCCTCCCCTCAGTCTTCTTGGCAGGCAAAGCTTGCTGGGCTGTTGGCGCCACAAGCATCAGACCGGACAAGATTGTTTCGCGTCTCATCTGTGCCTTCCATCCTCTCCATTGTCTTCCTCTCGGCCTATACCCTACCCCACCACGTGTGAGCTACCATACAGCTCAGCCCTCCTCCAACATAATCCTCCATCATCATATCATCACTTTACTTCCGCACCCCGGTTGCTACACCGTCCATTCCCGCGACCGCCTTTTTGCCCTTCTACCCTACCGGCCGGCCACATATTACCCCCTTTCGCTCCTATGTCCGTCTGAACTTGCCCTCCGATTTCCTTCTTGTACTCCTGGCTGCCCCCTCCGTCCCTTCCGACAGCTGGATGCCTTCACGCTGCGAAGCTCTCTTGGATCTCGTCGACGTCCGTGGGGCACGAAGCTCCCTCCATCACATTTGCTGACCATGATCCCCAAGACCATGATCTCCAACGAAGTCTACCTTCTTCCACTGAACGATGATGGCTCGCCTCAAATCGCCGGAGAATACATCTACTTAGCGCCCAAGAACAACGAACCCGTTACCATTCGCTTCGCCATTGAGGGCACCTCCTCTGTTTGTCGCCATGGCAGTCTTTGGGTCAACATTCCTGACCAGGGGGCTGAGTTTCGCAGAGACAAGTTCCGCGAATTCAAGTAAGATCGCTGGTCACACGGCAAACGCGTGATAATCCTGTGTGCTTCATTGCACCATTACAGCGTCTCGAGATTAACTGGAACTCGCAGGCTCGTACCCGATTTCAACCGCACCATCGAAATCTCGATTCCCATCTTCCAAGCTGGTGCCTACGCTTTCTACACTACCTACGCCGAGCTTCCCGATCTCGCCGCCGAGCTGAGCTCCAAGCCTGAAACAGAAACATCGCACAAGAAGACGCCTCTTTACTACATCGATGTCGCCCCTCGCCTTTCTCTTGATGGCCGGCCGTTGCCGCTGCCTGCGCTGTCCATCTATTCTGTCATCAGCAAATTCATGGGCAAATACCCTACCGACTGGGAGCGTCACCTTCGTGGCATCAGCGACCGGGGTTACAACATGATTCACTTCACGCCTCTGCAAGTCCGCGGCGCATCTAATTCACCCTACAGTCTGTACGATCAGCTGGGCTGGGACCCTGATTGTTTCCCTGGCGGCGAAAAGGACGTACAGGGCATGGTCGCTAGCCTCGAGAAGAACCACTCTCTGCTCAGTCTGACCGACATTGTCCTGAATCACACTGCGCATAATAGTAAGTGGCTGCAAGAACACCCCGACTCGGGCTACAACCTGGTGACCGCGCCCTGGCTCGAGTCTGCGTGGCTGCTCGACACGAAGCTTCTGGAGCTCAGCGCCAATCTTGAGAAGCTTGGCCTGCCCACCGACCTTAAGAGCAATGACGACCTTGTCAAGGTCATGGATGCCATCAAGAAGCAAGTCATTGCCGAGATTCGCCTCTGGGAATACTACGCCATTGACGTGGAGCGCGACGTTGACGCCGCTGTGGACGCATGGGTTGCCGACAAGGTGGAGTTCCCCGAGGGTTCAGTGGGTGCGGACGGTGTCCTAGGTCTGAAAGAGGCACCACAGAAAGAACAGGCCCAGTTCCTCATCAAAAACGGTCTGCTGAACAAGAACCGCCTTGGCGAGCGCTTCAGGAGGAGGGTGAAACCAGAGGTCGCCGCTGGTCTTCTGTCAGCCATCTTTGGCCGCTATGAAGGCAATTCTGGCCCGACGCCGGACCAGGCGGCTGCCAAGACCAAGATTCTCGCTGTCCTCGACGAAGTCAATTTGCCCTTCTATAAGGAGTACGACGACGAGGTTGCTGTGATTCTGGACCAGCTTTTCAACCGCATCAAGTACTGTCGCCTGGACGAGCATGGGCCAAAAATGGGACCCATCAATGAGAAGAACCCTCTCATCGAGTCGTACTTTACGCGACTGCCCGAAAATGCCACAACATCCAAACACAAGAAGGAAGAGCTGTCGCTTGCCAACAATGGCTGGGTCTGGGCCGGTAATGCCCTCATAGACAATGCCGGGCCTGACTCCCGAGTGTATCTCAGGCGCGAGGTCATTGTCTGGGGCGATTGTGTCAAGCTCCGTTATGGCAGCGGTCCTGAAGACAGCCCCTTCCTCTGGGATTACATGACCAAATACGCTCGCATGCTTGCTAAGTACTTTGCCGGTTTCCGCATAGACAACTGCCACTCCACTCCTCTGCACGTCGCTGAGCACATACTCGATGAGGCGCGTCGCGTGCGACCAGACCTTTACGTTGTGGCTGAGCTCTTCAGCGGTTCTGAAGAGATGGACTACGTCTTTGTTAAGAGGCTCGGTCTCAGCTCCCTGATACGAGAGGCCATGCAGGCGTGGAGCACAGGAGAGCTCAGCAGACTGGTACACAGGCATGGAGGACGCCCTATTGGCAGCTTTGAAGTGGACGAGTTGTCGAGGGCCGACCCCAAGTCGCCTGCCAGCCCCCCAAGATCTCCTGGCGAACCCACCAATGATCACTCACAGTCCTCCCGCGAAATTGTTCGCAAGATCAAACCCGTGCCCGTTCACGCCCTCTTCATGGACTGCACCCACGACAACGAGACTCCAGCCCAGAAGCGCGATGCACGAGACACGCTGCCCAATGCAGCCCTGGTCAACATGTGTGCTAGTGCCACCGGCAGCGTCATGGGCTACGACGAGATCTACCCGAAGCTGGTGGATCTCGTGAACGAAACGCGGCTCTACACATCCGAATCATCTTCCAAGGGTGTTAAAGTGGGCGGCGGTAAGAACGGAATTGGTGGCATCAAGAAATTGCTTAATCAAATTCACACACTCATGGGCAAGGATGGCTATGACGAAACTCACATCCATCACGAAGACCAGTACATCACTGTTCACAGGGTTCACCCCGAGTCGAGGAAGGGCTATTTCCTCATCGCACACACAGCGTTCCCCGGTTACGGCAACGGAAACGGTGCGTTCAACGCTGTCCATCTGGGCGGCACGCGGGCTCGCCACCTCGGAAGCTGGATGCTCGAGGTGGATACTAGCGAGGAGGCAACAAAAGAAGTCCTCGAAGACAAGAAGTACCTCAGAGGCCTACCTAGCCGCGTCATTGATGTGCCTGGTATTCGCATGGAAGTCAAGGGCGATGAGACTGTCATCTCAGTCCGCGACAAGTTCCCTCCCGGCAGCATCGCGCTTTTTGAGACCTGGATTCCTGCTGCCGAACACTCTGCTGGTCTTGACAATTACGTCACGTCTGGTGCCAAGAAAGCTTTTGCTGACCTGAGCCTTGTCGATCTCAATTTTCTCCTCTACAAATGCGAGGCTGAGGAGAGAGATGGCAGCGATGGAGCGGATGGCTGCTACGACATTCCTGGCCACGGCAAGCTGGTATATGCCGGCCTCCAGGGCTGGTGGAGTCTTTTGAAAGATATCATTCCCGAGAACAACCTCGCTCATCCCCTGTGTCAGCATCTCCGAGATGGCCAGTGGGCCCTTGACTACATCGTCGGCCGGCTGGAGCGCGCAGCCAAGAAGCCTGGGCAGGAGGCCCTCAAGAAGCCCGCCGACTGGTTTCAAGAGCGATTTGATGCCCTACGACAGATCCCAAGCTTCCTCCTTCCGCGATACTTCGGCCTTCTTCTCAGGACCTCCTACATTGCAGCTTGCGAGCGCGGCATTGAGCTGATGAGCGCCAACGTGGGTCAAGGCCAGTGGTTCCTGCAAAGCCTTGCCATGGTTGGCGTACAGCAGACAGGTCTTGTCAAGTCTGGGTCTCTGTATCCCAAAAAGTTGGTGCCTTCGCTCGCGGCAGGCCTTCCCCACTTTGCCGTCGAATGGGCACGATGCTGGGGTCGCGACGTCTTCATCTCGCTCCGTGGTTTGTACCTCGGCACCGGTCGCTTTGAGGAGGCAAAGGAGCACATTCTGGCCTTCGCCAGCGTCCTGAAGCACGGTCAGATCCCCAACCTCCTCAGTAGTGGCAATGCGCCCCGGTATAACTCTCGCGACTCCATCTGGTTCTTCCTGCAGTGCATTCAGGACTATGTCAAGTATGCGCCAGAAGGTGTTGACTTCCTCAAGACCAGTGTCAAGCGCCGCTTCCTCCCGTACGATGACACTTGGTTCGATACAGAGGACTCGCGAGCGTACTCACAGGAGAGCACCATTGAGGATGTTATTCAGGAAGCGTTGCAGAGGCACGCCACGGGAATGGCTTACCGCGAGGCCAACGCTGGCCCAGGCATCGACAGCCAGATGAAAGACGAAGGCTTCAACATCGCCATCGAGGTTGACTGGGAAAACGGCATGGTCTTTGGCGGTAACCAGAACAACTGCGGTACGTGGATGGACAAGATGGGCGAGAGCGCCCGCGCGGGCTCCAAGGGCGTGCCTGGCACACCTCGCGATGGTGCCGCTGTGGAGATCACTGGTCTTCTGTACAGCACGCTCGCGTGGCTGGCTAAGCTCAGCAGCGAGGGGAAGTATCAGTATTCGTCCGTCAAGAAGGCCGACTCTTCTTCCATCAGCTTTGCCAATTGGGCGGACACTCTACAGGCAAACTTTGAACGGTGCTACTTTGTGCCTCTCTCCTCCGATGAGGATGCGAAGTACGATGTGAACCCGGCAGTCGTCAACCGCCGAGGCATGTACAAGGATCTGTACCGTTCCGGCAAGGAATACGAGGACTATCAGCTGCGACCCAACTTCCCCATTGCCATGACGGTGGCTCCTCAACTCTTTGACCCCTCTCACGCCATGCAGGCTCTCAACCTCGCCGACACGGTCCTTCGCGGTCCCACAGGCATGGCTACGCTTGACCCTGCCGACCTCAACTACAGGCCATACTACGTCAACAGCGAGGACAGCGAGGACTTCGCGACATCCAAGGGCCGTAACTACCATCAAGGTCCCGAATGGCTGTGGCCAACGGGCTTTTTCCTGCGTGCGCTACTAAAGTTCGATCTCAAGAGGCGTGACACCGACGCTGGCAGGACCGAGGCCTACCAACAAGTGACAAGGAGGCTTATCGGTTGCAAGAAAATGATTCAGGAGAGCCCGTGGGCCGGCTTGCAGGAGCTGACCCAGAAGAATGGAGAGTATTGTGGTGATTCGGTAAGTGACGATGGAGATGCCCCAAGGAAGCAGCAGTGTGAGCTAACGGCTTCTCCAGTCGCCGACTCAAGCCTGGTCGGCCGGATGTTTGATCGACCTGTACATGGATGCTGCAGAGGAGCAAGGTGGTGTCGCGGGGAACCTCACTCTGCCCACGAGGTCCAAGTAGGACAGCATGATCCGTGACGGCAAGTTGTTGGTGCAGGAAGCGATCGCCGAGGTTCTAGACGTGTTCGAGTCTGTAGCGCAACGCAGGGAGAGCTTTGGGTTGTGAGACACATGCAGGACTGTGCGACTGAAGAAAGGGCGGGCACACGTTCTTTGAGGCAAGACAACAGACTCAGAGGTAACACATCCAGGGCGGGGAATGATGACGTTCCGATGGAAGCTTTCGGCATAGAGACACACGACGCAGCATTCTGGGCTGGCATGCATAGATAATCAATACCCCTAATTCGTCGAAAGACACTAAATCACGGTTATTTCAATGTCAAAAGTGAACAATCCTGGTGCAATTCACCAGGACAGAGATATCTAGTACAACGGCAGAGAAATGTGTGGTAGGTAGGTAAACAAAAAAGTCGCCAAGCTAGCTCTTGAGCTTCGTCACCCCTAGTCAAGGCCTAGGAAACCCAGGCAAGGCTGTGTGGCGCGTGGCCTTGGGCAAGGTACGTCAACAATGCGAAGAGGCCGCGTGCGTGCATGTGCGCAAGACGGGCTCGAATCGTTTGATGAAGAAATTGGTTGTTGTGAGCAGGGTAAGAATATATGAGTGACGATGCTGGAAGGTTTTTCGACCATCGCCCGATCCCGTGTGAAAAGACAGCCCGCGCGCCAGGAAGATCCAAAAACCAGCTCTGAGAGAGGCTGAGGCGGAGGCGGAGCGGGGCCATGCGAAATTGTGTCCCCCAAGGCGGTGTTGCCTTCCTTATAGTTCCAACAAAGAAAAAAACAAAATGGCCGTGTCTGTGTGCGTCCCCGACAAGATCCGCTCCCTTCCATCTACTGCTGCTGTATCTTGCTGGGCGCGAGGGAGATGTCGGTCCAGGGGATAGCTGGCTGCTAATGCGCACGCGACTTCTCCCCGTTTTGCCTCCGTTCGCCTTTCCCGTGAAACGCCATCTCGTGAGCCGGCCGTGTTCGGTCGTTCTTTGCATGTTTTTTTTTGATGTGATGTTATGTCTTAAATGTCAATGGACTGTCCAAAACAAGAAAAGCTCTTCGCACTCGGTCGACTCGTCATGTCCTTTGGTTGACAATCCACTTCTTCTTCTCCTTCTTGGGCTTCTCCTCATAGGGCCCTGGTGCCGCGCTAGGCATGAACATGCCGGGGCCGCTCTGGGCTTCGGTGGCACCGGGACCGGGGACGTGAGCGCTGGAGCCGCCGTGGGCTGGGAAGGCCGTGGCCGAAGTGTGCTTGCCGAACTGGTTGGAGCGGTCCTTGCGCTTGAGGTAACGGCGGCGCCAGATGCAGGCGCCGATCCAGATACCAGCGATACCAACAATGAGAATGACAATAGCGATGACCCATCGCCAGTGGTTGGAGATCCTGTAGACATACATGTCAGCCTGAATGCACATATCGGACAAGAAGGTAGCGATGCTCACCAATCGCCGCCGCCGCCACTTGAGCTGGAACCCGAGCTGCCCGCACTGCTGCCACCTGTAGATGTTGAGGACGCGGCCGTGCCTGTGCCCGTGCCCGTGCCCGTGGGCGTGGTAACGGTGGGCTGAGAGTCACCGAGCGCGGCGGTACAATAGCTGGTGTACCATGATTGAATGCTCGTCAGGTCGGCGGCAGCGCAGCCAGCCGCGTCGCAAGGGCCTGACACGGAGCCCTGTTTGAAGGGCTGAAGGGGAGCAAAGTCACAGAAACAATTGTTGTCGACACTGTTGCCAGATGCTGGGGGCACACAGCCGCCGTTCGCATCGTAGAGAACGCCGCAGTTGAGCGCACAGGCGGGCAGGTTCGCAAAGGGGATGATCGTCGTTGAAGGGGGGGCTGCTTGAGCTGGGGATCTGTTAGTACGTCCCACGAGAACGACATGGAGCAAGACCTTCTCTACTTACCCATTGTGAAGGTGGTATGCTACAGGAACGAAGTATAAAGACAGGGTAGATCAAACAGAGAATGAGATCGACGCGATGTCCAAGTACCGAAAAGTCCGGCTCGGTTGGTGGTGCTGGCAATCGTTGTGACGCGAGGTCGAGCGTGTTCGATGCTCTGATCGAGCAGGACGAAACGCAGTGAAGATGGTACGATGGCAAACGGCCGCGACTGACGGCTGTAGCGGTAGGCTAGGACGCGGGCACAATTGGGTGGCTCGGTCGGAGATGGCGGCAGCAGATGCTGTGATACGATTCGAGGGAACAGTCGGTGATGTGACTGGAATGAGGAGTCGGCGACGGTCACGCTCGCTCGGGCGTTTTCGATGTCGAAAGCGAGGACAACGTCGACAGGAGAGCGAGGCAGAAGACGATGTCGGCAAAGGGGGTCGTGAGGCAAATCGGACAGGTTCTCTGTCCAGGCAGGTTGTGGTTGGGTTATGACTCGGATATTGCCAGCTCGTATGCCGTGTGTCCGTATTCAGGGCCTGTACTTCAGGGGACTTCCGCCCGATGGAACGTCAGATGACTGGAAGCGAGCGAGGCGTGGGCTGGGTGAACGGGATCTCAACGTCGTAGCGTCGAGTCTTGTCCAAGAAATATCCTCCTCTTGATCGGCGAAAGCGAGTGTATTGTGCCGATGTTGTGGGATGTGTTGCGTCGTCTGGCTGATGGGCGGGATAGCGGAGGAGAAGGGAAGGAAGGGGCCACGAGATCTAGAGATCGAGGACTTCTGGGACACCAGTGGAAGAGACGGAAATGGAGACGATTGGGGGGGAAGGGGGGACGAGTCAGCAGCACACGCCTTGCAAATGACGGGTGTGTCGACTGCATTCCGTTCGCTGCTGCCAACTGCTTGACGGTCCGGATGAGAGCGGCGGACACCCCAGGCAGGTCTCTGCTCTCAAGCCCCAGCCACCCTGGCCGTACATCCTTGGCGAGCCTTGGCCTGGGCCAGGCCCCTGAGCTCTTTTTCCCAGTCTCCTGCGAACTGCGAACTGCGAACTGCCAACACAGAAGCCCTGCCAGGCTCCCACCATTCTGTGCTCCATGATTCGCTCATTGGGTGGCTGGTGCGCTGGTATTCGGCTCCACCGGCTTCTTCCTGCATCTGTATTAGCGCACGCGCCTCGCTACCCGCCGAGCCAGTTCTGGTCCGCCAGGCTGCGCTGCCAGCCCAGCCAGGAGGGCCCTCCTCCCCCCTTCCCTCCCCCATGTCTTTTGACGACGACCTGAAGAGTGGGGAACATGACAAGAGAGCACCTTTTGTGTACCTTGTACCTACGAAAACCACCCCTGGTCTGCTTGTCTGTCGAAAAGGCGCCGTAGGGTACCTGCCTGACACGAAGCTGAGCTGACTTTGCCATTCTGTCCGTGGAAGCGGGTCCACATGCTGCATGTGGAATATTGATTCGCGTTCTCCCCGTGACTTGTGCCTTACCCACGACGGCGACCTGTCCCCGCTGCCCCGTATTGACAATTGGGGACAAGACAATGAGACTGCTCGACGACCATCTTCGTGTCAGCTTATGGTGTATGTGTATGCGTGTGTCGACGTACGTGTGTCTCGCTCCCTCCACCTCGTAAAACAATTTAGGCATAAAGAAAAGGCACTCTGCCAAGAAAGCCAGACAAAATGCTTGACGTCACGTCTGGCACAGCCTCCTCTGTCGCACCTGCGAAGGCTGCCTACCAGTAAAGTGCCGCCCCAGCGGACAAAGTTCCTACAGGACATACGACCCCCCCCCCCCCCCCAAGGTTTCGGGCTCCCGCCAGTCACGGCCACTACTTCGTCTGGTCTCATCTTCGGGCGCGCATGGCCTTCCCCAGCGCACCGCATTTTCCAAGGCGAATAGCAAGCTAGGACGGGGAGGCACACACACGTCTGCTTCATGATTCATGGCAGTGGTGGTTGGAGGTTTAGTTGCGTTAAAGGTTCCTACCTACCTACCCAAGGCACTACAGTACAGTCCCTAATTAGGTATGGACGGTGCTCAGATAAAGCCAGTTGGTAGGTACTGATTGGACTTGTGGCCCGTCTCCGGTCTCCTGTGAGCCAAGGCTGAGTCCGATCATGGCTCCTCCTTGGCAGCAAGCCTCCCTGCAATGCTTGGGTAGGTGAATACGACCGACATGGGATGTGGCCCGGTAGCCGTGGTCGAACATTCAGGCTCAAACAACATTCAGTTCAATGGCGCGCAAGCAACCACCGGGGAGTGCCGTGCACAAGATTGATGGCATGACACCCCACTCTCTCTAAAATTGGGCTTTGTCACGCATGCAAACCCAGCGGGGCCCAAGACCTGTCTCACGATCACAAGAGAGGGCCCAGTGAGGCACCCTCGGCCGCTTGTGGCCAAGTTGCCCTGGCTGGTACCAAGCACAAGCATTGACCGACGCAAACAGGTCGAAGCCGTTCCCGACCTTGATAGGTTTCTAGAATTCCTCGCCAATCATCAGCTGATTGGCGTCATGGTCTAGAGGTATGATTCTTGCTTTGGGATATCTCAAAATTGCAAGAGGTCCCGGGTTCAATCCCCGGTGACGCCCCATGCTTTTTGGTTGTTTGTATCTCGACATCCAGGAATAAACAAACATCTTCCGCCGTCTTTCATTCAGCCCGATGACGTTTGCTGGTTGGGTTTCTGGTTCTTGCTCATCGTGTTCAATTTCAAGCCAAGGGGAATTACTAGGCATGTATTGTGGCTATCCTCCTGAAGCTAAGGCGAGAGTGAGAGGACATGAAAGAAAATGACACGGTTTAGCCCGCTAGCTGTTTCATTCCTTGCTTCACTTTTTATGGTGCTTCTTTTTGTGTTCCTTGGACTGGCCATGCTTCGTCTTGCACGTGGCTGCCACTCCGCTCGATTGGTGCCCTCCAGACGACGTGGTATACGCGCCGCCACCCTCAGCCACCTCCGCGATATTATTGTACGGACCAAGCCCGGTGGGCTCGTCAAGCCAGCGGGTAAAAGGCTCGGACGTACCGCTGCCTCGGGTGGACGTCTGGTAACTGTGTCCCGGGTCTTGTTCCGACTGCCAGGGGCGGTCCACTGACAGTCTTTTGCCAGAGGACGAGGTCTTTGCGATCGATGAGCCTGGCGAAGTCAGCATGAATGCAAGAAAGATAGATGGACCTAACATCGACGGGACTCACTGCTTGAATTCGTCATCTTGACGTTGGCTGAACTTGTCTTGGCCATTATGGCACCCGAGGACGACTGGTGATGTTGGGGCTTTTGAAACGAGAAGGGCGTATAAGAGAGACTGAAGGATCAAGGCTTTTGAATCTAATGACTACGAGAGCTGGGATTGATGTGTTCTCGAGCCTTCATACCCTCAAGACGCATGGAATCGTCTGGTTTTATATCTTTGCATCTCTCTAGACTATTCTAGAGTTGTTGCTCCCCCTTCACATCCATGGCTCTAGTGAAAGCCACCACCGCTTCCAGTTCAATGTAAACCTCCTCGCTACATCAGTACTCAGGCTCCACGAAGGTTCAGCGTCCTAGCCTCGAACGACGTCGAGTCTTCCTTCTCGCCGTTGTGTCGACCAAATAGCAGGCACAGTCAGGACTGCGGTTCGGAAACTGCAATCAGCCCCCAAGATGGAGCAGCTGTCGTGTGCAACGTGATGTTCATCTGCATCAACAGCGTTGCCTCTTGGCGTTTCTGAGGTCACCTTTCATATGGTTGAGTTCGGGTCAGAGTCATGGATGCATTTCTTTCGGGAGAAAGGATTTCACAGTCCTCTGGTCCTTGCTCATCGGTGACCGCTAACAGAAACTTGAAGACTTGTTTGTGCTGGCGATTGGTTACACAGAAACTTTCTGGAAGAATTAGCTGCCATGCGTTGGAACAAGCCAACAGAGGACTTGTATTACGGAGCCCCTTTGCAGCCTCGAAGCTCGTGTTAGAACCTTCCCATGCCGGGGGCTTGACCTACCCGACATTTCCAAGCCTCGGTACCGGGTCAGAGAGGAAAAGCAGAGCGAGTCGACTCATGCTCTCCACTGTGTTTTCTGGGGGCTTGTTTGTGGTTCCGCATGGCAATTCAATGTATTGGACGCCGCCGGTCTGTCAGTGTCACCTAACTTGACCTTTTGAGTGAAACGCACCTATGGCAGAGAATGATGGCAGGCGAGTCCAGGCGAATCCATTGGCTTGGTTTATTCCCATGCGCCCCTGTCAGCCAAAGCGTTTCCTCCTCCTTTTCCTCGTGCCTTGGCGCCAACGGGCAGTGCTTCTATCAGGGAGCCGGCGTTGTGCGATGCTAACGCAGGAAGTTCGGGAACCAGCAGAATCTTGTTGCCGAGGTCGGCTTGCTGCAGCGATGAACTTTGGAGATTGTAGTAAGCAGCCAAGGCACTTTTTGATGCTCGTAGGTTAATGTCGTGGTAACGTCGAACGAAAATACTTAAGATTACACATGAAGTCTAACAGACAAACTGCCTTGCCAGACGACGCTCACAGTCACACGCGTAAATATCCAGGGATTCAAATGCGTGGCTACATAATCGAACACTTCGTTGTTGGCCCAATGGAAGCTGCGAAGCCTCTTCTTTGAGGCGTATGTCTTCGCGGGTGGCTCACTTAAGTCCCGACGAAGTCACAGTTGATCCAGCTACTAACACATGTTGTGGTACGGGTTCGACGGGACCGTTTACGGAGTCCCGCATTATTTGGATCGCCTGCGTCTTTCTGCAAGACTTTTGGACCAATATTCGGCAGTGACGATGAGGAATGTTTCCTACCATTACGTCAAAGCAACGAGAGCCGAGCCCTTGCAACGTGCGACGTACGCTGGAGCCCTTGAGTTTCTCTGGACAGTCGGAGACACCGAGCCTCGGCTGTGTCCCTCGAGTTCAGTTAAGGGGGGCAACAAAGAGAATCTAAATGAGGCATCATACATTGCCTCCTCTAACTCTTACAAGCCAAGGTAAACTCCGAATAGCCACATAATGTTAGCGTACTGTCTCAAGACGGAACTCACGTCGTACATCATGTGATCCGTTACATGTGCCACGAGGGAAACAAGCCCAAAATCTGTTTTCTCAATCCGATCACGCCACGGCTGTTCCAGCCACAATATAGTGGCGGTCCAACTCTGGCTTGCGGCTGTTCAGTGCGCCCCTGCCCATCATTGCAGCTTCGAATCTACTTCGAGGCAACATAAGGCGATAAGCCTGATACACACAGATGTTGCGCGGAGGACATGGCCGCCACAGACACGGGAAGGCTCCGAGGTGCCCGATTGTCTGTGACAAGCAACAAAACTCGTGGAGGAAACGTAGATCATTGGTACTTCAGGCCCAGTGTCTTGCTATTTGCTTCAAGAATAGGCGAGTCTTCTGTCAACACTAGCTCGAGTTCCGCGTGGGTTTCAGTTGCCAACGAACCCTCCCTTCACGTCGAGAGGCTGAATGTTGGTGCTAAAGGTTTGACAGCTGCCCACGAGGGGAAGAGCGAAATGAGATGCTAGATACCTCACATGTGATGAGAGAGTGACTTTTCCAACGAGCATTACGGAGTGGTAGCCGGCAATAGTTCCCTCAAACACCCAGAAGATACTGTTGTACCAATATTCAGACGGAGCCACAATCACTTTGATGTTGAACGTCCCATCAACTTCTTGCCGTTCTCAACAACAAGCCAATCGTAGCCAATGGTCATCTGCAGATTTTCGACATCGATGAAAGCAAGCTCGTCTGGCCGGATCTTCTGCAAATACTCAGGGTCCCGAAATGCATCCTCAAATGTCTTGAAATCCTTGACATATGCATCGCTCATGCCATCGTATTCCAGCATCGGACGACCAGCAGCCTTCGCCATGACCTCGCCGAGCGCCTTGGCTTCGTCCGTGGTGTGATACTTTGATGTTGGTCAGGGGCTTGCTTGTCAGGGTTGGATTTGGGACATACTTGTCGATACTCAACGACACCATGTCGCAGCATAAAGTCTGTACAAAGAGGGGCATGCACCTCCGTCCAGTGCTTGTAGAAAGCATTCTTAGATAGGCCCTTCTTACGGGGTATTAGGGTTGTTATGCGGACGAGCTTCTCGAGAGGCATATGGACGATTTGGAGAGAAAATCCGAAGAGCAGAGGAAAAGAATCTGTTGACCGACAGGAGCACAGGAAGTTAACGAGAAAACATCATGCAGTCGCGTTGGGTTGGCCCAGGTCGCCCTTATGTATTGGCACTGAACCACCATCTTCGCGCTGAGTACCTAGGCAGGTAAGCTGGTAGGTTAGGTGGAAATGCTGACCCGATCAGCTCCATGTGCATCTTGAGGACGAAGATGCGTACACACCCGGTGCAATGACCGCGCTGCAGCATACTGAATCATTAGCTTCGTCTGAGTTGCCTGGTTGTTGGGACCCTAGACGACAATGCGGGGAACAACGCTTGAATACCGCAACTGCCCTCCATATCGCTACCCTGGAACAGCGCGCGCCGGTACTGACATGCAATCGCTTGCCTCTTGGAAGACAGGGACATTACACGTGGCCAACATGTCGAGCGCAAGCTGTGGCACATGTGTAGAGTGGTCATAGGTGAAATCGTATCATTAGGCTTGCTCAATAGTCTGGTGGAGTTAAATCTTCATACCCAAACGCTGCCGACCACTTGACCCCGCATATTGACGAGGATCAATCCAGCAGACGAGCCGTTTCCTCGTCAGTCTCGCATCCCTGCCTCCTCCACCATCCTCTCGAGCCGTGGCCCTCCTTATCCTGCGTCCTCTCACCGTCACCGAATATGGGCTTCAGAACTGCATCATAGAACATCCATGTCATGTTCTGTACCACGGCCATTGTTCCGGCGAGCCAGAGCGGAACGCGTCCTTGCTTGTCGGCCAGCAACCGCGACCCAAACATGACAATGAAGAAAAAGGGCAGCATGGTAAACAGCAGAATAAGTCTGCCGACCGATTGCTTCCACGTCGTAATCGTGTACGCTTGCAGGTTGCTCAGGTACCGTTGATAGTCGTCTGGAAGTTCATGCTCCCGTGCACCATCGGTGATGAGCTTGAGGTAGCGCGCAGAGGCCTGCGAATACGCGGGGTCGTCCCGGTGAGGCCTGCGGATGAAACGCCAATACCACTTCTTTCGTGGATCGTCTGGTTTCTTGGGACCATCGCCTGCTGTGGAGTCGCCTTCGCTGCCATCGCCCTCTTCGGGGATGGACGGTGCGAAGAGCGTATGTGCGAAGAAAGGCTTCGGTAGATCGATGGGTGGCTTCTCAGGTACTGATATGCGAGGCGGCAGCGCGAAGCATGGGATGAGAATATCGGCATAGCTGGAACCACCACCTTCGGTCGCAAGAATGGTGCCGTAGTCTTCAGGCGTGACTTCGTAGACGACGCCCACTATACCCTTGGTCCAACGCGCATCTTGCGATGGTCCAACCGCGACCCCGTTCTCTTCATATTGATCGCTTCCCTCGGCTGCGGCGAACCAGGGCGGGTGGATGGGTGGTACCTTGGGCGGGTTTGTCGGATCCGGTAGTTTGGGAACCTTGCGAAGGGCGCTGTTGGCGAAGCAAGGTTCGAGGTATGGAACGCCGGGGAGGTCGAACACAAGATCAAGGGTTGGCGCCGACACGTTAATCTGAGATATGGGCCTGATGCCGCGGACACCAAGAAAGGTTTCGGCACAGAGATTGGAGCCATAGGCGAGGTAGAGGACGGAGGTGGCTGTCGACGGCGGGGCATGTAAGCGAGCCTCTGGCGTTCGGGGGATTGATGAGATGGGCGGGTATGTCTTCTGCGGCCTGGCCATTACATCGCGGCATTTGCGGAGGAGCTTGCATGGTTCCTGGACTGACGCCATTTTTGAGTTCGTTGATGCGATGCGACTCTCCCTTGCTGGTTGGACCATCGGTGGGCTGGCGATAAGACAATTCGACCTGTCAATAACTTGCTACTGGGAAATCACCCTTGAAGCTCGTGTAGCTCTCTTCGGATGATGGTGTGAATAGAAGTCGACATGCGAGCCTTGAATCTTGGATAACCTGAGCGTTGAACAACGGAAAACGACAGGCTCGAGCCTGATGACGAGGATATGCTAGTGGCAGAGACGGATAATTGTCACTGGCTGATAAATCGGCGGGCTACGCCGGAGTTCCATGGCCATGGCCACCTGTGGAACTCCTCGGTGAGCACCGGTGTAGGTGCGTCAAAGCGTGCTCCTGAAGAGAG